GAGAGTATCAGCTCGGCGTTTATAAACCCTCTCTGCAAAGGAGGTAGGCGCATGGTGGGTTAGGTATATACAGTGTTCTTCATTGCAGAGAAAATTGTTGTTTATCTGCCTGCCTCGTCTTCATTGAGATAGTTGATGAATTACAAAAATATATCGCATTCCAGTTACGAATGTTGAAAACAATATCCAGACTTTTCATAGATTTATATTCTATGTTAGGTCTCACGATTCAAATTTGAAATTGATACTTAGTTTTAGATCCGAGCAGTTTGACCTCCAAGATCCTCAATATAACCCACGTAATTGAAAATGTGGAAGATGCCTACTGGCAAAACCACTATTCGGAAAGATAGCGGATATGTAGCAATCCAGTTACGGACGATGAAAATATCATTCAGGTATGTCTCAGTTAAATGTACTTCGATATTAATATGTGATGTTTAGTTGCAGATCCTTAAAACAGTATTTGATACTTGCCACTCAATCGGAGAAAACGACCCACCCAGTCAAGACGAACGGAACAGAAGATCCGCAAAGAGAACTGATCAGAGGAGTATACTTTACAGAATTCAGATCATCATATTCGTACGGAAGGCGATATATTGATATCCTTTCCAGCTTCTCAAGAAAACAGATAAGACAGATATTCACCTTTATGTCTCTATGGAAACACGACAGGTACCCTCACGAGGGGAGAGTATCAGCTCAGCGTTTATAAACCCTCTCTGCAAAGGAGGTAGGCGCATGGTGGGTTAGGTATATACAGTGTTCTTCATTGCAGAGAAAATTGTTGTTTATCTGCCTGCCTCGTCTTCATTGAGATAGTTGATGAATTACAAAAATATATCGCATTCCAGTTACGAATGTTGAAAACAATATCCAGACTTTTCATAGATTTATATTCTATGTTAGGTCTCACGATTCAAATTTGAAATTGATACAATTAGTTTTAGATCCGAGCAGTTTGACCTTCAAGATCCTCAATATTACCCACGTAATTGAAAATGTGGAAGATGCCTACTGGCAAAACCACTATTCGGAAAGATAGCGGATATGTAGCAATCCAGTTACGGACGATGAAAATATCATTCAGGTATGTCTCAGTTAAATGTACATCGATATTAATATGTGATGTTTAGTTGCAGATCCGTAAAACAGTATTTGATACTTGCCACTCAATCAGAGAAAACGAACCAGTCAAGACGAACGGAACAGAAGATCCGCAAAGAGAACTGACCAGAGGAGTATACTTTACAGAATTCAGATCATCATATTCGTACGGAAGGCGATATATTGACATCCTTTTCAGCTCCTCAAGAAAACAGATAAGACAGATATTCACCTTTATGTCTCTATGGAAACACGACAGGTACCCTTACGAGGGGAGAGTATCAACTCGGCGTTTATAAACCCTCTCTGCAAAGGAGGTAGGCGCATATGGTGGGTTAGGTATATACAGTGTTCTTCATTGCAGAGAAAATTGTTGTTTATCTGCCTGCCTCGTCTTCATTGAGATAGTTGATGAATTACAAAAATATATCGCATTCCAGTTACGAATGTTGAAAACAATATCCAGACTTTTCATAGATTTATATTCTATGTTAGGTCTCACGATTCAAATTTGAAATTGATACAATTAGTTTTAGATCCGAGCAGTTTGACCTTCAAGATCCTCAATATTACCCACGTAATTGAAAATGTGGAAGATGCCTACTGGCAAAACCACTATTCGGAAAGATAGCGGATATGTAGCAATCCAGTTACGGACGATGAAAATATCATTCAGGTATGTCTCAGTTAAATGTACTTCGATATTAATATGTGATGTTTAGTTGCAGATCCGTAAAACAGTATTTGATACTTGCCACTCAATCAGAGAAAACGAACCAGTCAAGACGAACGGAACAGAAGATCCGCAAAGAGAACTGACCAGAGTATACTTTACAGAATTCAGATCATCATATTCGTACGGAAGGCGATATATTGACATCCTTTTCAGCTCCTCAAGAAAACAGATAAGACAGATATTCACCTTTATGTCTCTATGGAAACACGACAGGTACCCCTTACGAGGGGAGAGTATCAACTCGGCGTTTATAAACCCTCTCTGCAAAGGAGTTTTAGATCCGAGCAGCACATTTTTTGGCATGCAAGATCTTTAATATAACCCACGTAATTGAAAATGTGGAAGATGCCTACTGGAAAAACCACTATTCGGAAAGATAGCGGATATGTAGCAATCCAGTTACGGACGATGAAAATATCATTCAGGTATGTCTCCGATTCAACATTTTTGTACTTCATCTAATGATATTTATTTTCTGATTTAAATGTACTTCGATTAATATGTGATGTTTAGTTGCAGATCCGCAAAGCAATGTTTGATACTTGCTATACTGACGTGTAAGGGGGGCGTTTTGCTATTATTATTTTCAGGAATATTTCTTGGCATATTTCAAGTTTATATGTGTGTACGTCGAGCTGGGGGTAGGGTAGGTATTTTTGTTGAGGTTTTTGAAGTCATAGATTTTATTTGTTGTAATTTTTTCACTGTATATTTCATGTGGTATTCCCGTTTCAGATGTCTGTTAATGTATTTAATTTCCCCAGCATTTATATCTAGATTTCTCGATTTCAATATAATGTAATATCTTTTCAATATTGATTCGTCATTTTTGCTGTCACAGAAATAAACTGTGTATTATATACCGAAAAAATATCAAATTTTAGCTCACAGGTTTTTGTCTCCCTCCGTTACGCGTTGGGGGAGACAACACAACCTCGATCTTATTGTATACTAAATTACTATCTCTGATATATATATATTGATGAGACTGGTAATAGTTATTTACCTAATTAACAAGTAGTACTGAAATCTTCAAAATGAGGTTTCGCAACCATTCCTATATTCAAAATCCGGGGGTTGTACTTGTAGGGGGTTGCGGGTTGAAGTTATTGGGATGAAGAAAGCAGACAAGTCGCTGTCTCTCGAATCAGAATAAATCGATGGGTCCGAGCGTCATTCCGAATTTTAATGTTAAAGACCCTAAATCGGGGTATAATAAGGTGGATTCATGCAAGCAAAATTTAAAACTTAAATGAATTTTAAACTTAAACCAATAATATAAAACTATGAAATGTAATGTAGGTGCTCATGCAAGAAACTAAAAAATTAAAACTAAAATTAAAACTAAGAAAGATGGCCAACATTCAACTAAGAAATTAATTTCTTCCATAATTCACGACAATAACGCATGCGCCAAATAATAACTAGCCCCGCTGGAAAAAGAATAAACAGCTGATGAAAGGTTATTACATGAACACCCATATATATTTCAATTTAAAATTCGTTTAAATCTCAAATTCATTTTAATTTAGTTGATGTTGCATGAATCCACCTTAACATTTTCGTTGGATCACCCTGTATATACATTGAATCACCCTATATATATTAAAGTACACTGTTTCAGCACTAATTTATCTGTTGACCTCCTTCAGTATTCAGAATTTCAGTAAATGCTGAATCCATGTTCTAAATATTCCCATATAGGTACCTTCTTTTCGGCGCCCAACTTGTGAGTCGTCGGAAAGAACCTTCTCCTTTATTATAGTTGATCATTCAGGTACTTATAATTCATGACAATTATAAAAAAGTGAAAGTTCGAACCTGAGATTGATAAAATATGGGTACAAATACCTATACTGATTGTTTATTATATTGAACACCCAGTGCTCCCTACAAGTAAAATAGTGAACTAATCTGTTATATAATACACTATAGTTACATAACCATCAATTGAGGAAAAAGAAAACTGTACCTTTTGTGGTTATATTTAAATGCTTGGAAATGATGTAGTATGTATAGTATTATACGGTATTATTCACATAAGCAAGTACCCATATCGTAGTTATATCGTACCCATTTATATACCGTATTATCTGGAACTACGCAAAATTGTTCCTTCTTTTGTCCTCCGCTTGTTATATTTTTCAAGATCTCAATAAAAAAACCATCAGTACAAAATAATAGTGCCAACGTACTTTCATTTTCAATAGTTGAAGCATAAAGAATATGTAATTTTTTGTACAAGGGTACTTTTTTTTTTGTTTGGATTACTCGATCGCTACATGTTTTTCCTAAATCCGGCGAAACCTCTATTACAAGTTTGATATTTTTGTGAATACCTAGTATGAAACCGTATAGGGATCAGTGGAATTTTTATTTTTGAATAAGTAATTTCTCATTCTTCAAAATCGAATTAAATGGAGAAGAAATAGCTATCGCCGTTTTTCTATAAGACAAGTCTGAGCCTGAGTTAATCTGATTTCTATGGGCACATGACATATTAAAGGTATTATGGGTATACCAGTGGAATTCCAGCAGTACCAAAACTTATAAAGACCATCAATCCAGTCACTCGTAAAATGTTCTCACGTTATGACCTTGCTATGCTGCAATGTTAGGAACCAGTTTCGTTTTTCTTGTTATTTTATTATTTGCTCTTCTCTTAGAGGAATGTTGCACCCAGTGGCGTTCTAGAAGTGGTATAGGTTACGGGAAAATCCCAAATACTCACCCAGGCCTTTGAAATTCAATATTCAAATCGTAAAATTAGGATATTTTGGGGATTTTATCATCAATAAATTAAATAACTTTGCATATTAGTGGGCACATTTTGCTACATTTATTCAACAATCTGTAGGTATGTTGTATAACAATTAGAATACAGAAGAACATGCCTAACACACGAAAAGCTACATCCTAAATGCTATATAATGCCAACAGTTTTTTTAAATGATGCAATGAAAATGGATAACTTATCAACAGCAACAATATAATAGGGGCATTCCAGATCCCTCGCATGTGTTTTCCTATATTTACGAAATTAGCATTTCATATTCAATCTGCTTGATATACATAGGAAACGTAATTTTCGTCAATATATAATCAGGTACCTACCTACATGAAGATCCGGATCACCCCGTTTATAACAAAACGACGTATTTCAATATTTATATTACACCTCTCAAATAATTACATATAGGTACATCTACGAATATATACAAAGAAAGACGTTGAAACACTAGTAATTGCATAATTTGATAGCAAATCGAAGATGTATTATTATATATGAAGTGTCACTATCTAAGTAAGGTGAAGACCCTGCATTTTCAGCTATCACAAAATAAATATCAATACACATTCTAACAAACTTACTAATGACTAGAAAACACATACCTACATACAAAATTAAAACATCTATTAAGGATTAACGAAATACTCCCCGTCATCCAGAGTTTTATATACTGGCTGTTGATTCATGTGCAACAGAAAATCACCTTGATAACCATCAGAAAATCTATAACTAATTAGTTCTGTTCAGATATGTCAGACTGTTCAACTTTTTTCAAGAGCACGAGGATCATACATCTAATCTTGTAATGCATTTGTACTACTCATTAAGTTTTCATGAAACTAAATAAGTAAAAGTTTTAGACTAAATATAAGTTTTAAACTAATCAGGTTCTTTAATTAGGCGTATGGAATGAAAGATTTGAGAAGATATCAACACTTGACTAATTAAATATGACCATCAGAAAATTTGCAAATAATTAGTAAAAAAACAGTAAAGCCATTTGGAATTTATTATGTCTTCATCATCACAGCAGCTTTATGATATACATAGAGTGTCCGTCTGAAGTCCTGCCCCTACCATCTTTGAAATCGCACAATATGCAAAATACAAATTCAAAAAAAATTATTCAATTTCCAGAAGATAACATTTTGAAAAGCGGTTTCGAAGTTGGCGACAGGAGCAAGACTTGCTACGTTCACCATATGTATGTGACGTGAGAATATTCAAATCTTTGAAATAGTCGAAATATTTCATTTGGTGATTATACCTCCTGCCAATGTAAAGTTGTTATTATCATATGACATTTTCTTCACTGGTCTCCACTATTAACAATGATATCTTAGACAAACCATAAAATACATCAGTTGCATAATAATCTAAAATAAATCACGATAATGAAAGTTTTCACTTGAGATCAGCCTCTTCTTGCAGCATTTCTTCAATATCTTGCTCCCAATTCTCACTCTTCAAATTGGTGGATTTCTGTTCACTAACCAATTCATAATCTTGAAGCTCAGCTTCCAATTCTCTCTCCCATTCTTCTTCTATATGAACAGGGATAAGGAATAAAAAGGTAAAAATAAATAAAAATGAAAACAATCTATTTACACTGAACCTTTGAGCAATCTTGCTTTTTACCAGATGCTCAGTGTTAGTTTCCTGCTCAGTTTTGCACACCCCAAATTCTTAGAGGAAATCTGAGCAACTGGTGGGTCCACACCTTGACATAATATACAAAAGTCACAGAAGAATGAAAAATGTTACTAAAGGCAAGTTCGTCCATGTGTGGAAGGTGAATAATACTTTTTAGAGGAAAAAATTGAGTTTGAAAATAAAACAAAGGTACTTAAATCTTCAGTACAAAGCGCACTCTCAATTACCACCTTCAAATATTTTATAGTTTTATGGTTACTTCCCATTATAAATTTTGAAGGTTTTTAAATATATGGGGTGGGTCACGGACCATGGTACCTAAGACGTTCACGGAGAACGGGCCATAGGATCATTCTGAAAATTAAGTTACTCAAGTAGTTGCTCTTGGTCTATCGATCCAAAATATTTACATAAATGCAGCGTTGTCACTTATACCAGAAAGTAGTAGCAACTTTCATTCTTCAAATGGGCCACCCTGAACAGCTGATTCCATCAATATTCACATTTGGGGTCTAGCGGAAATGATTACAAAGGGTGTTCAAAATCGAGATTTTTTTCAACTTTAGGAATTTTTTTGTGTCGAAACTATTCATTATCGGTCAAAACGGCTTCCATGTCCTTATCTTAACTTCTGATTTACCTACTACTGGCATTTAATTGGAACAGATACAGGGTGATCAGAGTTCTGAATATAAACCACCCTGTATTTGTTCCAATTAAATGTCAGTAGATATTAAATCAAAAGTTAAGATAGGGACATGAAGCCATTTTGGCCGATATGATGAAGAATAGTTTTGACACAAAAAATCCTAAAGTTGAAAATTCTCGTAGATCTCGAGTGTAAATGTAATGAAATACAGGGTGTTCCATTTTAAATATCAAAGTTGCTACTACTTTCTGGTATAAGCGGCAACGTTGCATTACTGAAAATATTTTAGTTCGATAGAGCAAGAGCGACTACTTGAGTAACCAAATTTTCAGAATAATTCTATGTCCTGTTCTCCGTCTGTAAACGTCTAAGTTACCAGCGACTGTGACTCACCCTGTATATATAGTTGGAAATACTGACTTCACAATAATATTTTCATGGTGTCCAACTTCCACACATAAACAGTGAAATAACTTGGGGTATTTTCCAAATTTCTCATTTGACAATGATTAATTTATAGAGTATATTCTAACATAGTCCTATTATACTAATATTTTGTATTGTCATTTTTAAGCAACTCAAACTGGACCCGAGGTGCAATTTTAGGAAGACAAAGTTATGATTTTATACACTTATATATATTTATAATACCAAAAATACATAGTTACAGTTAGAAGAAAAGGCTTCGCTAACAAAAATTATTCCAAGGGTCACAGTCCAGTCCACTGCACAAAGCCGAGTTGCTCAAAAATCATTTATAGAGAATTTGTGCACACATTTTGTAAATCCAAGCGATTCATGACAGTAAAAATTCTGATAATTCATTAATTGTGTAGTAGTTGATCCGTAGATGGAAAATATGATATGTTCACTTCTATCTTTCAGATTCCTTCAACGCAAATCAACTATCAGGATAATCTCAGCAGCATCAGGTCTTGTTCTACTTCATGAAAAGTTGCCTATTTTCAATTCTGGGGCCTATCAGAACATTCATTAGAAGTTAGTTCAAATCAGGTTTGTATATTCACTATTTCTATGTAATACATTTAGAGTACATTAATCACAAAATTTATTGCAGCTTCCTGAAACAACATTTCAATAATCAACTTCAACATCGACATAAAAATCTGAATACATAACTATCCTTCAAATGGATTTGAAATCAGCAGCAGAGAATCAATTTCCATTTTGAGTTCAATTTCAATCCACTATTCTATATATTTAATTATAAACTGTTTCTGAACAATATGGTTAAAATAGATTAGAAAACAATTATCCACTTATTTGATGCATTTCTCAATTATTCGAACAGAAAGTGTATATTTTCCAATGAATTATTATCGAGTTTCAGTCCATCAAAATACGCAGAGTAACATGTATTTATAAACAAATAATAATCAATATAATGCTTGCACAAATTCATAAAAATTCGATAATTGAACAGGGCATTCAGTGGACATAAAATCAAGAAAATACAACACTGACATCATTCCAATGTTTTCATTTCAATTATCCAAATTTCAACGTTGCAAGATAATACTGTTCTATGACTAATTTAAGTTACATATCATTATTATATCATTATTATAATTTAATTTATTTAAATATGGTGTGAAGCAAGTTAATCAACATAGGGACTTGTCTCGAAAGCAACTAAAGTTAACTAAAAGGGATGAAGAAGGAATTCAGGTTAGGTAAGAAAGGGTAAATGGAAAACCGAAGGGTTACCTAGGAGTCGGCGGTCCTCTTAAGCTGCGACAAAACGAAAACAGGAAACTAACCACTGTTATTAATCAATCTACGGTCACGTGATAAAACAAGTAAAGCACCGTGCATCATATTAATCATTATCGCCCATCACACCATCATCCATAGAAAATATTATGAATCATTATGTCTTGACTCAAAGTCCATATGACATGGGCAAGTTTTTCATCCATTTTCTGAATTTGTATTCAGAATTTACTGCACCATGTATTACAGAAACAGGGAGTCAGTATGCAAAATTGGATGAAAAATAGGTCATGTCCTATTTTTCATTCATTTTATGTTGAAGCGCTTGCGCATATAACGCCGTTATTTAACCTTGGAATTGTTTGTTTTGATGTGGGAAACCATTTTTTGGGGTTATGGTAATGTCACTTTGTTGGTATTTTGAAAAGGCAATTGATGTAATATGAATTACAAATAATATATGTCCACTGATTAATTTTAGATAGGTAGATAGATAGACAACATCATTTCTATAATGGTTTGGTCTTCGGAGCATATGTTGGTGCTTTGATTGAAGAATACCAAAAATATTCCTGTTTGTTCAATCAAACGCCCGAGTAGACGATTTGACATTCTTTGACAAAGATGGATTGAGACCTACCTCATTTCTGGTGAAAATACATTCTCGCATATTTGTACCTTTTTCAGTTTATTTTGTCCAGAACAAAAGTGAACTGATCATTATTCATACTTATGAAATTTGTAGATACTCATATGATACAGGGTTTCCAGAAAGGTGTTCATTTTGTACCATAGTCAGAACTCCTAGCCCACAGGTGTTTCTTCTTTGGAGTGATTCATTTCATACTTTTCCATTCCGATTTTTTTCAATAAATACACTGAGCATAGCACCCACTTTTGCAGTACTGCAGACAGGTATTTTTCAAGAGAAACTAATACTCATACAATTCAACTAGGGAAAAAGCCAAATACTCAAAGTGGAATGCAATGGTCACAAAAGAGAGAATGGGATGGGAATGGGAATGCTGAGATGCGTTTACGTTGGGTCAGGTTCGCACCAGATAGCGGTCAAGAAGCTATCTGGGACAGCCCTGTACTGATGAAAGCCAAGAGCTCGAAACCAGTCTGCAGGTAGTCCGCGTTCCTGAACCACTTAAGCGCAGCTCAGCGTTTAGGAAGGAAACACTTGCGATTTTATTCGTTTATACGAACTATCGCATAGATTTCGGCAGGATGTAATGCAATGTTCTGCATGGCATATAGCCAGGAAAGTAGTTGTTTTTCTCTCGTTATCTACCATTGTAGTTCATTTATGAACTAGTTGTGGTAATGACTTTGAGTTTCTCTCTTTTGTGACTTATACAATTCTTCAATTTTGAATATCTTCTTCCAATAATATATTCTGAGGTTACTATACACGCACAACCGTCATGTGCATCTGCATTTCATAACATATGCATGCCCCTGTCACAATATCTTACCAGAATTTTCCCACAGAAAATGATTCAGATTATTCTGAATGTTGTATTAATGTGTTCAATAATGATCCATTTTATGAGTGAAAAACTGGCCCATGTCATACGGACTTTAAATCCCTATGACACATCTCAAATATGGACCAATTACCAAATGGTTGATGGTGAATAAGACATGATAATGTATAAAGCAGTCTTAAAACTAGCTTACCATTAGTTTTGGATCCAAGTGCCAATTTTTTCATTCCTTCTTGAACCTCAACTAAATCTTCACTACTGGCTTGAAGCGTGTCAGATACAAACTCATGCACATCTTTTTCTGAACTATCTACTTCATAAAAAAAATAAATCAAACAAAAACGCATAAACAAATGATATTTGTTGAAATAAATGGATATGATACTGAATTAACAATTTGAACATATTTCCATACACAGTCTGAAGTTCATGAGACCTTGTTGCATCTCCTAGTGCATTTTCAAAATTGCAAAAACTAGCGTTGACTGCAAGATAATTATACTCTCACTCACCTATTAGTTGATCTGAAGACTCTGTTGCAGTTTGATTATCTCCCTCCCTTGACATGAAAGACAGTTCATTGGCCTGGCAAATTAGGCTCACACGGTAAAAGTAATTCCTCCAAAAGTTCTCCTCTGATATTCTATTGCAAAAAATTCATAATATCAAACTAGGAAAGAAAAATGCATAGACTCCAAGATCCCTTACACTTTAGGCACAAGTTCATATCGCATCTTCTCCAGATTAGGATCTTGTTCCATTATAGCCATGGCAATGGGGTAAGTAACTTCATATTCAAATTGGAAATCAACGCCGGCTGGCGGGCTACGGACGAAGTTCCTTCTGTCAGTGGACAGACTGAGACATTCATCTTTTAGAGCCTCTTCATTGGCACAGCCCACCCATGGGGGCAGTGCTGTAGCTGGACCTCCGTTTTTATCTTTCAGAAAAGCTTCCTGCTCTTTATTGAATTCACCTAGAATGCTCTGAAAACCGTGTAAAATATTTTAAGGTATACCTACTGAGCTATTGCTTGGTGAATGGAGGGAGTCTAACTTGTGCTTCCATTTCAGATTGAAATGAATGAAAAAAATAAACCCTAGAATGGCAATTTGAAATATACATATAGTATGAAGTATTTGGAAGCATAAGAAACCCTCTAACTAATCATTTTTTTACTCACGTTTTTCTCAACAGTTTCTTTGATTTTAGCGCTAGCTTCACTCACAGATTTTCCAGCCTTATTTACAGCAGAATACAGAAAACTACCTAAGGACTTAGCTCCAGCTAAAGCCTTATGTTGTACTGAAAAATAATATAATCCATGGCCATTTCTTTGAATGGTCAAGGAATGTGATAGCATATACTAAATAAAAAAAACTAAATTATAGACAGATCTAATGAAATATTTGCTGCAACAGTTGCAAGTAAAAGTAGAAGCAAGATTGGACTAACTTTGATTTTATCTTCCTCAAATAGCAGATCAAATAAAAAAACTATCTTGAAAGGATCTTTTATATTTCAAAGAAGAAAGATACCACAAAATACCTACTGAAACAATCATCACTTTATAATTGTATGATGTTGTATATAAAATGAAGAACATTGATAACCAATATACATGTACCTACATACCATTTACAAATTGACCATCTTTATCTTCAGTAGGGGATTCAGCAGCAGATTGGGGCCCAGAGTCAGCGCCTCCAGTAGCACTAAGATTTCTACATTAAGTTTTGATGTTCCACATATTTGTTCAGGGAAAGTAAAGACAGTATTTTCATGTTCCTCAAAGAGTAAGTTGATTCTACTGAGTATATTCACTTATAATCCCCATTGACTGTTATACTTCATTGATTCAAAACAGGTGGACAAACCAGTTACTTTAAATTATTTAGGGCAGACATTTATTCTTCTCAACAGTTTTTGATTCTGTTTGAATTTGAAGAACAATCCAAATAATAAATCAAAACTATACTATCTACCAAATAACAGATTTAGACTGTTAATAGTTTGTTCATATTTTGTATTACCACAAAACTATTCAATATAGCTATAGTACTCAAATTAGAAATGATATTGACAAAAAGGTTTGTAGTAATATTAATATTAGGTTTTGGTCTTCATGTTCAGTGGATAATTTAATTCTTTGTTACAATCTTAAATTATTTGGCTTTTTCATAATTTAGGTATTTCAGAAACTCAAAATGTATACCTATAGTTTATATGAGTATTTGGGGGCAGTACAGTTGACAATACAACTAATTAGGGGGAGATTATAAAAAGAGGTAAATAATGGAATATTTCTTGAGAAATATATCAGGTACCTACTTACACTAATTAAGAAACCCAAATGAAACTTAATAATGAGAAAGAAGTCAGGAACAGTAATTTATTGAATATTCATATACTGCTTACTTTCCCATTAAAATTCAATGTTTGGACTGAGATTCAATTGCTGTTTGTAATTCTGCATGGAAAAATTGTATTTATTCTGATTATATATTTTTATGAACAGGACCTCACAACTGAATCTCATAAATCTTGGTTGAATGTTGATTTGTTACCTGGAATTATCATCCTCATCTTTGACTGGAGCAGATTCTGGGGGTTGGGGTTCAGTGTATTCAGTAGCACCTTCCTGATTCTCAGCTAGGCCTTCTGTTTCACCTTTTCGTAATTTAGGAATGCTGGACCCCAACCACCCTCCAATTCCTTCTATCTGATTCTTCACATTTGAGAACATCTCTAACTTCCCACCACTTGCTTTAGTTGGGCTAGTGGAAAATGGATTTTTGTTATTTCTTCACTCCATGGTGGAATGGGTACAGTTTTATTAGAGGGGATAACATAGAATTGGCAATTATATTTCATCATTTATGACATGAAAGAAATCTTAAGGCAGATGGGTGCAAACAGGTGCCATTGAGCAATAATTTCAATTCATCATATTTATCATTTAGGTATGGTAGGTATCAGAAAAGGATTTTTGACCTGTCATCAGTGGTTCTGGAGCTCACATTATGAGAAAGGGCAATACAATGATTAATAGGTATATGAGGGCAGTACATATATATAATCAATAAAAAATAGGTCATATCCAAACTTACCTCCCTTCCTTCTTTTCAGTATCCACCACGAGCACATTGGTACTTTCCTCTGTGGGGGTAGGAACTTTTTCTTCTTGTTCCCCCTTAACACTTCCCATCCATGATGAGACTTGGTTGGTGAGTCCGGAGAACATTTTTTATTGATGGTTTTCTTCAAAATGATTGAAAAAATGTTTGTATGTGAAAATTTCACAGGAAAACGTTCTAGCAGTTAGGTGATACACATGAAATGCATAAATGCATATTATTATTCAACCAACCGTACAATAGATGTTTATTTAACTGGAAAAACAGAATTTGTTGCAACTGCAGCCCACTCGACTACGATTTTATCAGATACTTGCGCGCCTGCGTTGTCATCCTGCGCGTCAACATTTTTCATGTATTGGAAAGCTCCAGCCAATACAAAAGCAGGAAATTTCGTGGTGCTGCGCAATTCTCGATTCGAAAATCACTGCGCATGATGTCGCGACGCAAATGAACCATTTTTGCAATTTTGCATTCAAGGTCACTAAAAACAATCTTATTTGACGTTTACCCTGCGCAGAGATAAGTTACCTAAGTTACCCACTAAGATATACTTTTCCTGTAATGAAAATGGCCATAAATATTTTGAGGTTTAGGATTTGAATTCGAGATGTCACTAGTCTCGATAACTCCTTGACTCTGATTGGGTGACTTTTCTCAACTGAAGTTGGAAGTGGTTGAAAAGCCAGCTGCGAATTTTCACAGCTACGCTTGCTGTTTGAGGTTATTTTCAATTGTTCTTACTTGTTCGTAGATTATTTTGTCTTGTGTGTGTATTGATAAGGTTTGTTAATCTGTGGTATTGAGATCCTTGTATTGAGTATTCGATTCGATACGTCGGCTTTGGCTTTTTTCTCGTGATTTAGTGAATAATTCCTATACTGTCTTTCAATTTCATTCGTGAACCTAAAGTACCCATTCCAAATATTAAATTCTGTGTACAATAGTGTGCAGTAGTTATCAGTTTTATAATGTCTGGAAATGTGTGTGCGTTTATAAACTGTGATAGGACACGTAGAAAAGTGACGAATTTGAAAATGTTTTATTTTCCCAAGGATCCAGTAAGAGCCAAGAAATGGATTATCAGCTCCAGGTGAGGAAACTGTCATTTAAACTTGTGTGAAGTTAGCGCCCGACGCCAGCGCCCAAATCTAGCGCTTAAGTCCGATTCACACGATAAATGAACAAATGAAGACATAAGTGGATAAAGGGTTCAAGTCACACAAAATTAATTTGGAGCAAATGATGTTCAAAGTTTTTGATGCCGCAGTTTTTTATATTGCGTTGAATGAAAAAAATAATCGCTGGTTTGAATAGACCTTTATTACACAATTTTGCATAGTACATCTGACACTGGTATATATAATACAGTAAAAAAAAAACTCAAAAAAGGTACATGAATCCGTCATCCTTCAAATAAACAGAGTTTGTTTCAAGTACCCAACAAATAGAATAATCATGGATGAAGGATTCATGTTCATACAATACAATGTACTTGAACCCTTCATCCAGTGGCAATGATAGAACATAGGTGAACATAGATCTTTCATCAATATATAACTTTCTTATTTTGTACAATAGATGAACGGTATTAGTAGGGAAAACATTCTACTCACTTAAATCCTTTATCCACCCAAAAATCTCATTTTTCATTAAAAATGTCACATAGACCCTTTATCCACTCGTGTCTTCAAATATGATGGACCTCAGATGATGGACTTTGCTGATTATGAGACCACGACATGGATATGACGAAGCCAAGAACATATTTTAATTATAGAAATAGTATGATTGACGGGAAGTAATAAATACTGGATAACGAAGAAATGAAATTGTCTTTTTCTCACTGACCAGCTTTTGTGACAATCAGGAGAATATACCTCTGCTACCAATTGGGAATGAGAGAGTGAATTCATACCCCCACATTAAAACAGAAACATGCTCTTGAGCAAGGTTACGATTTGGTGAAAAATGTTGAGGAAAGCCTCCAAATTTCCAATTCCAACCTAAACTTTTTTTTTCAGAGAAATAACTATTGTGATAGGATGCGAATTTCGATTCCCTGAAATGTCGGTTTCATAGAAAAACGTGAACAATTTTTTTCTCACAAATGAGCTCTTGCACAGCCGTCTTCAACTTGAAGACGGCTGTGGCTCTTGAGATAGGATGCGATTTGGTGGAGAATGTTGAGAAAAGCAAGTCATATTAACCTCCACAATTTCAGTTTCCTGAAATATCGGCATCATAAAAAAAAAGTGCCCCCACCCCATACCCTAAACAATTTTTTCTCCACAAACGAGCTCTTGAGACAGGATGCGATTTGGTGGAGAATGTTGAGAAAAGCAAGTCATATTAACCTCCACAATTACAATTTCCTAAATTATCGGCATCATGGAAAAAAAGTGCCCCAACAATTTTTTTCTCACAAACGAGCTCTTGAGACAGGATGCGATCTGGTGGAAAATGTCGAGAAAAGCGAGTCGTATTAGCCTCCACAATTTCAGTTTCCTAAAATACCGGCATCATAGAAAAAAAGTGCCCCCACCCCATACCCTAAACAATTTTTTTTTCGGAAACGAGCTCTTGAGACAGGATGCGATTTGGTGGAAAATATTGAGAAAAGCAAGTCATATTAACCTTCACAATTTCAATTTCCAACTTGAAGTTCGAACTTGAAGGTTGAAATTGAAGGCTGATCTTGAAGTTCGAACTTGAAGTTTTACTTGAAGGTTGAACTTGAAGGTTGAACTTCAAGTTCAAACTTCAAGTTCAACCTTCAAGTTTGAACTTCAAGTTCAAATTTCAAGTTCAAACTTCAAGTTCAGCCTTCAATTTCAACCTTCAAGTTCGAACTTCAAAGGTTGAACTAGAAGTTTGAACTTGGAGGTTGAACTTGAAGTTTGAACTTAAAGGTTGAACTTGAACTTGAAGGTTGAACTTGAAGGTTGAACCTGAAGTTTGAACTTGAAGGTTGAACTTGAAGGTTGAACTTGATTTTTGAAATTGAAGGTTGAACTTGAAGGTTGAACTTGAAGTTTGAACTTGAAGGTTGAACTTGAAGTTTGAAATTGAAGGTTGAACTTGAAGTTCGAACTTGAAGGTTGAACTTGAAGTTAGAACTTGAAGTTTGAACTTGAAGGTTGAACTTGAAGGTCGAACTTGAAGGTTGAACTTGGAGTTTGAACTTGAAGGTTCAACTTGAAGTTTGAACTTGAAGTTTGAACTCGAAGGTTGAACTTGAAGGTTGAACTTGAAGTTTGAACTTGAAGGTTGAACTTGTAGGTTGAACTTGAAGGTTGAACTTGAAGGTTCAACTTGAAGTTTGAACTTAAAGGTTGAACTTGAAGTTTGAACTTGAAGGTTGAACTTGAAGGTTGAAGTTGAAGGTTCAACTTGAAGTTTGAACTTGAAGGTTGAACTTGAAGTTTGAACTTGAAGGTTGAACTTGAAGTTTGAACTTGAAGGTTGATCTTGAAGTTTGAACTTGAAGGTTGAACTTGAAGTTTGAACTTGAAGGTTGAACTTGAAGGTTGAACTTGAAGGTTGGACTTGAAGTTTGAACTTGAAGGTTCAACTTGAAGTTTGAATTCGAAGGTTCAACTTGAAGTTTCAACTTGAAGGTTGAACTTGAAGTTTGTACTTGAAGGTTGAACTTGAAGGTTCAACTTGAAGTTTGAACTTGAAGGTTGAACTTGAAGTTTGAAGTTGAAGGTTGAACTTGGAGTTTGAACTCGAAGGTTGAACTTGAAGGTTGAACTTGAAGTTTGAACTTGAAGGTTCAACTTGAAGTCTGAACTTGAAGATTCAACTTGAAGTTTGAACTTGAAGGTTCAACTTGAAGTTTGAATTCGAAGGTTCAACTTGAAGTTTCAACTTGAAGTTTGAACTTGAAGGTTGAACTTGGAGTTTGAACTTGAAGGTTGAACTCGAAGTTTGAACTTGAAGGTTGAACTTGAAGTTTGAACTCGAAGGTTGAACTTGAAGTTTGAACTTGAAGGTTCAACTTGAAGGTTCAACTTGAAGTTTGAACTTGAAGTTTGAACTTGAAGGTTGAACTTGAAGGTTCAACTTGAAGTTTGAACTTAAAGGTTGAACTTGAAGGTTCAACTTGAAGTTTGATCTTGAAGGTTGAACTTGAAGTCTGAACTTGAAGTTCAACTTGAAGTTGGAACTTGAAGGTTCAACTTGAAGTTTGAACTTGAAGTTTGAACTTGAAGGTTGAGCTTGAAGTTTGAACTTGAAGGTTCAACTTGAAGTTTGAACTTAAAGGTTGAACTTGAAGGTTCAACTTGAAGTTTGATCTTGAAGGTTGAACTTGAAGTTTGAACTTGAAGTTCAACTTGAAGTCTGAACTTGAAGGTTCAACTTGAAGTTTGAACTTGAAGGTTCAACTTGAAGTTTGAATTCGAAGGTTCAACTTGAAGTTTTAACTTGAAGGTTGAACTTGAAGTTTGAACTTGAAGGTTGAACTTGGAGTTTGAACTTGAAGGTTGAACTCGAAGTTTGAACTTGAAGGTTGAACTTGAGTTTGAACTTGAAGGTTCAACTTGAAGTTTGAACTTGAAGGTTCAACTTGAAGGTTCAACTTGAAGGTTCAACTTGAAGGTTCAACTTGAAGTTTGAACTTGAAGTTTGAACTTGAAGGTTGAACTTGAAGTTTGAACTTGAAGGTTCAACTTGAAGTTTGAACTTAAAGGTTGAACTTGAAGGTTCAACTTGAAGTTTGATCTTGGAGGTTGAAATTGAAGTTTGAACTTGAAGTTCAACTTGAAGTTGGAACTTGAAGGTACAACTTGAAGTTTGAACTTGAAGGTTCAACTTGAAGGTTCAACTTGAAGGTTCAACTTGAAGGTTCATCTTGAAGGTTCAACTTGAAGGTTCAACTTGAAGTTTGAACTTGAAGGTTGAACTTGAAGTTTGAACTTGAAGTTTGAACTTGAAGGTTGAACTTGAAGTTTGAACTTGAAGGTTGAACTTGAAGGTTCAACTTGAAGTTTGAACTTGAAGGTTGAACTTGAAGTTTGAACTTGAAGATTGAACTTGAAGGTTGAACTTGAAGTTTGAACTTGAAGGTTCAACTTGAAGTTTGAACTTGAAGGTTCAACTTGAAGTTTGAACTTGAAGGTTGAACTTGAAGGTTGAACTTGAAGTTTGAACTTGAAGGTTGAACTTAAAGTTCGAACTTGAAGGTAGAACTTGAAGTTTGAACTTGAAGGTTCAACTTGAAGTTTGAACTTGAAGTTTGAACTTGAAGGTTGAACTTGAAGGTTGAACTTGAAGT